CGTCTTACCGTCGAATAAACTATGTATGTAGTTTGACGTCTTGTACACTTTCCACAGTCTGACATCGTGCACCCAGTCGGCCACAAAATTCTCGTAAGCATCAAAACTTTATAGGCCTTGGACTGCTTTCCAGCGTAAAAAGATGTTATCAGGACTAAACAATCTACGATCTATATATATTCTCCACCTGTAGGACTTTAACGTTGGTTTGTAGGCCTAACTGGGGTCCTCTGTTTGCTATGTCAACTAATTTACTGGCATCTAATGCATTTGCTATTGCTGACGGAATGGAATAAGGATCTGTCGTGTCAAGACCGACTTTTCTTCTTATCTTGACTTGCATGTGTTGTCTAATTTGCTAGTAAATTCGTGAAAATGAACGGAGAACTAGGTGATTGTGTAGCGGAGGCACGTTTTCACGAATAATGTTTACGTCCAATATGGCCGCAAATTGTTACCATGTTTACTTTTGTCACGTGTCTGCATAAGGTCTATTGGCAACGACACGTTTCCACAATTCAGAACTCATCAGGCTAGCTGGGATACAATAAACACATTAGTGATCGGAACATTATTTATACAAACCCATTGTTACAACAAGACTATGTATAGAACGTAGTGTTTAAGAAATGTATATATATATATATAAATTAAATCTCGGTATATACCCGCAAATCGATTTGCATTTAAAATGAAATCAAACAACCACAAGATATATTTATGACAGAGCAATGTTTCTTGATTTATGGTAACAATACAAGGATGAGTGATTTAGCTTTACAGCTCAGTCTTCTAATATCGATAAATGTTTTTTGTAATGGCCTTGGTTGAGAATTATTACTCTATAACGCAAAAGCACCCTGTAGTGCAAATTGTGATGCCTTCCAAAGTCTATCAACCATGTGCCAACTACAATTTCCGAGCAACCTAAGGCGCAGACGTTTGTGGCAGAACAACGGATAAACCCGATTAAAACGGCTTCATATACAGATAAATCACATGATTTCATGTAAGGAAAAAGACTATCAGCAACAAAATGAAGACAATCAATTTAAATAAATCAAACTTTATATCTTCTAGTACAAAAATATGAATATACCCGTACAATCGAAATATTTAAATCCACAGAAGATCAGTTCTCGTTTAAAGTGATTACACAAAAATATTTTGAGTGCACAATCGTGTCTATTTGTTGAATGGATAAACGCGTGTTGAAGAAATCAATCATTTTTAACTGTTTACATTTACTCCTAGCTTCTGCCTTTGCGAGATGTAGGATGTTCCGATGTTGTGTCATACTACAACAGTCATTCTTCTAGGTAGTCGACGACTATATAGGATAATGGTTATTGGCTTGGTGCTTCTGAAAGGACCTTGTTTTAACGCGGTCTTGCAACACGTATCCAGTGGACTGCATTATAGTGGAGCCCCAGTGTGTGTGTGTGTGTGTGTATATGCATGTAAACTTTAGCCTCCCAAACATGCTCGCCCTATCAGCCGTGGGGGCGTTATAATGTGACGGTCAATCCCACTATTCGTTGGTAAAAGAGTAGCCCAAGAGTTGGCGGTGGGTGGTGATGACTAGCTGCCTTCCCTCTAGTCTTACACTGTTAAATTAGGGACGGCTAGCGCAGATAGCCTTCGTGTAGCTTTGCGCGAAATTCCAAAACAAACAAACTTTTGCCTCAGAAGCACAGACCTGATCCAGCGACTTGAAAAACAGCATCCTCACATTTGTCATGTGGTGGAAAAGTGTAGAGTAAGATAAAAGGTAATATGTACCAGGAAAATTGAATGGTAAGAATTGTTATAAAAACAAGTTAGTTACGGTTATCTCGTTTATATAACAAACTTTAGGCCTATTGTTTTTCGCCAGCTTTCGGCATTTAAACCTTATGAGAATGGTGAAACCGTTCAACATTAAAAAAGTGATTTTTTGTTAAGAATGGTAGTTTGGGTTTTCTAATACTAATATGATGACATGTCTTGATGTATTATGATTAATATTTAGGACCATTAAAATTAAAGCATAGTAACCAGACGGGTCTGGGGCTAAATATTGTTTTTACTAGACCTATTATGATTAAAGATTCAAATAAAAAATCAAACCTCTGGATATGGCTTAATTTTGGATACAATGGGGAAAATAATGCCCACATATTTCCAAGACTCGTCTACAAATTAATGAACAATATTTGATGTTTCTTAAATAGGAAAAGTGGTGCTCAAACAGTATAAAATTTGCATTTGGACAACAAAGCATATAGACAAAAAGAAACCACATACACATAACCTCAATAACTGATGCATTCACTCGAGCATACACAAACAAAAATGAACAAACAAACACAATGCTTAGATCACACCAATACTCGCATAGTATACCCAGCAGTAGTAGCAGATAATGCCATCTGTACTTGATTGAACTACTGTATTCTTGGCTCTATTTGTAGAAAAAGCATTTATTATCTTTTTGATGTGAAGTGATTCTAACAAGTCATTCTCTATGCATTTAGCCTATATTGACACATTGTTGATCAAAGCGTGTTCTTTATCTTTTTTTAGCATCAAGGATGATCTTTCTTCCGAGCAATTTCTTGACATGAGACACAATTACATTCTTAGGATTATCAGGACGTTTCGGAAAGTTGATATCAGAGATTGTTCGCATATCATTCTCAGCATACTTTGTTCCTTGGATTCTGACGGTTTCCAACGAACCCTGCCTTGCAAAGGGCGCCAAATTGAACTATTTCTTCCTCTGTACAACTCTTTAAGTTCATAGGATACGCAATGATCTCTTTTTGGTAGTATTGCAAAGATCTTCTGTAGGCATGAACGCTAAGTTTCGTAGAAACCCAAATTTGCAACTGACGTTTTCATACGTTATTATTCTGGTGTTTAGTGCAAGTGGCAGTTTGTCAGTTGTTGTTAAGAAAGTCTGAACATTATATTGAGTATAGGATGAAACATCACTGTCCTCAGCATCCTCTTCATCTCGTTGCGTATTTATCTTCCTTTTCGACTTTATATGCTTTGTATCCTGACAATTGTTGACCCTTTTCTTCATATTTGGGAAATAAATTTTGTGATACCTGCACGAATGTCTTGAGAGATTTTAGCATCTGAGAAGCTATACTGACATCTATTAAGGAGTTTTGTAATGAACAACTTGTCTTGTGAAACCTCTGCAGGATAGCGCTCCATAATTACATCATTATATTAGGTCGTCAATAAATTAATGTCGCCTTTTTTAGATGAAAAAACTCGAACAACTTATATATCAAAACGAAACATTTATTAAATGAAATAGTCTCCATTCTTGTCTCCAATGATGCTTTTCCATCTTACAATCAGGTTGTTAATGCCCTGATTAAACAAAATCACTTGGCTTTGAAGCAACAAACATGTCAATGTCCTATTTGACACCTTCCTAATTTGCATACGTTTTCCCATTAAGATGGTGTTGCAGCGAACGAAAAAGATGATAATCTGATGGTGCCATATCTGGAGAATATGGTTAACTTCCCAACCCAACTCCATAATCTTGTGTTGCGTCAAACGTGCCACATGTGGATGTGCATTGTCGTGTAGAAGAAGAATGCCTTTCCGATTGACGAGCACTTCTGATGAAGGACTTGATGTAAACATTCCAGTTGCTGATTATAGATATCTGCATTGACAGTTTGCTGTGGATTGAGGAGTTCGAAATGAATTACTCCTTTGATGTCACACCAAATGCAAAGCACCACTTTCTGCAGATGGAGTCCAAGTTTGGGGGTCGGAAGTGGTTTTGTCTATGACCGAGCATTGTTTTAGTGTTTAATATTTGCATAGAGAATCCATTTTTAATCACTGGTGATAATTCTGTCCAAATATGGTACATGTGCATTATGCACCAGAAGAGACAAAGCAACATTCACACGTTCGAAACGATGATCATCGGAGAGTTCGTGAGGCATCCAACCACCTTTATGGAGTTTTCCCATATTCCTTAGATGTTTACATATTGTTTCATGAGAGACATACAATTTCATGACCATTTCACAAGTGTGTAGCCTTAGGTTAGACTCAACAAGCATCTTCAGAGCATCAATTCCAACATGTTGTCCCCTTCCATCACAGATCATCACACATTTTCTGTACTTCACTCAAAAATTTATATTTTTGTACTTGGATGACTTGTATTCTATAGCCTCCATCGTGAATCGAATTTCAATGAACTGTAGAATGACGGCAGCAACAACGAACATTTGACACATGTGTGTATGGTAACTTTTGAACGTTTCGGAATACACATATTCAATCTTCAGCAAGCTATATTGAACAGGGTAAATTCTTATGTACAAAAATTTATAAAGTTCAAACATTTTATAAAGAGTAATTAAAATACAGAATAAAAGGATGAAATAAATTAAAAGACAACCAAATAAACATGAAAAAATAGGTTAACCCAACAATTGTAACAATATTATACAGGTTATTTAGAACAGACATATTTAAAGCGAAGCTGTGCTATTATTTAAAGTTCACTTATAATAGATAAACTTTATTTAATTAAAAGTTCAATAATGGATGATCCAGATGAGAATGTTTGGAAATTATTAATCAAGATGAGGTTGTTGTTGTTTTCACTGTGTGTGAATTGCGGAATCTGGAAGATTTGGTAGTTGTTTACCAGTTGTTCTTGATAATTCCATATGTTCGCAGGTGTAATTGGCATTACAGCCATCACGTGTATTTATATACGATCCTGGAACACACAGGGGTAGGTAATAGGTCTTTGGATCTGGATAGATTTTGTATCTTGTGAACGTGGAAATTATCGCACCAGTGATCGAAACGTCGTACCTGTTTTAAATACAAATCTTAGTTACTGTTAAAGCTGTAACTTGTAATAAAATTAGGTGGTATGGTTATATCGTTTCAAGTTTTACTCATTATTATTATTTTCTTATTCCTGATACTATAATTTATTAGTTTGTTTGTAGGTAAAACAAGAAATCTAAGTATTTGAGTAAGGTGTTTTGGCGACTGTATATCAATCGTTATCATGCCTATTCGACCATCTAACAAGACCAATGATCGAATCGGCATGATACCACATAAAGTTCTCGTGGCAATTCTGAGGATAGCAGCTGATTGACAGCGCAAAACGTAGTATATACAGTAACTGTTAATTTGAATTAGGATCTAATAGTAATATTAATATTTAATAATTTAAATAATTTCACTTGGGTTGCCATATTGGCTACTTAGTATAATGTATGGGATATTATTATTACAGCTCTTTTGTTATCACCTTAAGCTTCAATTAACCAGTTTTCATGGACCTGGGTAGGTAGGTGAGATTATTCTAAACTCATTATACAGGGTGTCAAGTGTCCTACATGGTTTATCATGATGTGTTTTGTCCAGTGCTACAGTATTGAAAAAGAAATGAATACACTTTTTTTTGGTGATTGTGGTCCAAGTTGGGCAGTGTCATTAGACAGCAAACATAACCATTAGGATAATAAGCCCAACCATTTATCTGTCAAAGTGGTTTAGCTCCGCAATTGGGCAACATTCTTTTTTGTTTTCTTGATTGGCACTTTCAGCTCTGTATACATATAATGTGAAAGATTAGTTGAATGAATATGCTGTACTGTTCATGGTACTTGACAGAATTTTGTAAAATTATTACTTAGCCTGAAGTTTTTATTTAGGATAACACCAGAAAGTCACTAACAACTACTTAATTTGAGGTTGTATTGATATGAGATTCTGTAAAATTTCAGCTCCATTAATCAGCTTTTAACTTAGCCTTTTTTAAGTGAAAGTAAAATAACGATAAGCCACTTGTTGATGAAAATAGACAGTGGAATATTCTGCATACCTCTGTGTATATGTTCTCTGTGATAACTTTTTTTGGCACTAATGCCTTTTGGAACCCGGTAATAAACAACCAATTTACACATTACACCAGACTTCAAAAACCAATAAATAAAATATTTTTATACAATGTCCTTTAAATTTCCTAAGCAATTTTTAGTGTTCACTGACTGCCACTGCTACAGAAAATATTTATGTACAAACATTTAAATGAATTGAAAGAAAAAATAAATTCAACTGTTCAAACACTTGCGAGTCTTTGACTGTGTATGCTGTAGCAGTTTTTGTAAAAACAAAGTAAAACAATCAAAGCAGTTTTTTTGGTTAGTTACAAATGCTACATAGATGTGGTGCAACTAAAAGATTTTCAGTTATGATAATTTTCTCTAATAGTGAAATTAACACACACATATCTGTTACACAAGCTAACTTCACTAAAAGTATCCATGGTCTCCAAGTGTTTGTTGTACAATATATTATAAAACAAGATTTAATTTTAATCCCCATCTAATTGTTACATGTGTAGAACAAAGTTATTTTGTTGATGGTAATATATTACTCATTTTGTAAATGCACAATACATTTTTTAAGTCATAGAAATACTAGTATAAACTTATTTTGAAAATTCAAAATAGACTATAAAATAATACATGAATTGCTATTTTGCCCTAATATTTCATACTTGCCTCCCATTTTTCTAATGAACAAGTCAATGTGTGTGTGTGTGATTGTTGCCTGATCTTATGAATTCGCATCACATGTTGTTATAATAGCCAAACTGACAAAACTAAAGTGTAACTCTAACAAACTTCATTTATTTTCTGTCTATAAAATGCATTTTATAAAAGTTACAATTCATGATGCATTCACTTGATATTCAACTGAAAGTATCTATATTTGTTTTAATAGAAGACTATAAGCATTAATACAGAATTAAGTTTTACTTTCAAGATGGAAAGTTTAGCCATGATAATTATTTTTTAGTAACTAAAGTATCAACATTTTCTAAACAAATAAAAGTTAAATAAATAAATACTAGTTTACAAATCCAAGTAATTAAAAACTAAACTGATGTTAGCTTGTGCTTTTCTGCAAAAAAGCACAGAAATCATAATTAACACAGTTCTTCAGGCTGTTAGCTTAAACTTGCATTTTAGTGTGCTAAATGTGAGATACTGATTTTCTGGAAAACTCCTTAAATTTGAGGCTATACTGATTTCTGCTCATTAACATAGATGTATTAAGTGAAGGAAGTTTAGCAATATGGCAAACTTAAAAGAATATGCTTTAAAGTACCAGTGATTATCATGTACTCTTAGGATGAGATTTTCTTGCATTCCATGTTTCTTTCCAACGAGTTGTGCATTTTTCTCATCATTTAAAAATCAAAATAGTCACCTGGTAAATTGTTTGTTCAAAGCTGTCCCTAATTTCAAAATCCTAGAATTTGAGGTAAGGCAGATGGTTAACAGCGCCAAACACACTCTTTGGTTGACAAAATTGTAAGATTTGACAACACTGTTACAATGTACCCACTACTTCACATCCATCACCCCCTGGTTAAAGGTTGGCTGTTATAATATAGAGATGGGAAACAATCCTTTCAATACACACCTGCTTTGGAAAACAGGTACTGCTTGGTTTATAATTTGCAGATTAAGGTATTCACCTAAACCGAAAGCATAACCTTACAGAAACTAAAGGTACATTTTAAAATATATCAAATAAAATATATTTATACACCTATTTAATGTAACATCACAAGTACAATTACAAAATGTTTAGAATTCAGAAAATATTAAATATACTGCAACTTGCTTTCCATGAATTCTAAATTGAATAACTTTTGAAAAGATTGAAAATCTTATCCACCAGTTTCAGTTCTACCCGTGGCTTAAAAATAAGTCTTAACCACAACAAATCACAAGTTATTGCTCTTGTTTGTGGTTGTCCAATTTTTGATTTAAATCATCTTCTAAAGAAAGTGTTATATAGTATTTATGAATGACTAAAATCGATAAAAAAAAGACTAAATGTTTTTAAAAAGCATAAACTAGTAAAACATGCACTCAAATGTCTACATCACAGTCACATTACAAGTATGTTAAAACTGACTAGCAAGTAAAACAGTACATGGGAAAGAGTGCTTAAACTGTGAAGATCCCAGCTGAAATCTTAATCATTAATTTCATAAAAGGAAGATTTAAATAAAGTATATTAAAAATTAGGTTTCATTTTTTTACATTATCTAAAATGTACCATTTAAAATTATCATTTTATATTTCCATTGTGAAAGTTTTTACCATTAACAAATACAGAATTCAACTAACCTGTGTTTGAAAGAGCAGATTATACTTCTGGTTTAAAAATTTTTCTATTTGTGCATCTTCCTTCTATAAGTTTCTTTTATTTGCTTGAGTAGTAGAATTTGTAATAATAGAAATGACACAAGATGGTTTAGCTTAAAATATTAAGCTGGTAATACTGTCCTCTAACCCTAACCAGGCTGATGCATATTTGCATATCAAATAAAAACAAGTTATAATTCTGTTTCAATACTTTTTCTAATATCAATATTTTGTCACTTTGTAACATTTAGTATAATTCACAAATAAAGTGAAATAAAATGTCAAACATTTATGCACAACTCTGAAAAGCCTTGCCTGTAAACAATACATTTATTATTGTTTCTAGACTTTTTTCTGCATATCCTAAAGCATAGGTTTGTATTTGCTATGAATTTATCATTTCTTGAGAATGCTTCTCACCTGATTTTTATTATTGTTATAGCCTCTTGTTCACACCCTTTTATCACCTCACAGCATGTAGTCTGAAAAAACACTACTTTGAAAATAACTACAGGTAAAGCTTATAAATTATTTGCATCAATTTATAATGAATAAAGTGGTGTGAGAAGTAATTAGATGCAGTCCCTACACAGTACAACAACAGAATTTTGTGGGAAATTTAGAAGACTTGGAAAGTTTCTTTAGACAGTGTTTTTGAGTTAAAATATATTTGTTTGAAAGCTATGTAAATTTTATTCCATGGCAAGACACTGGGTAAGAGTTTAGAGAGTACAGTAGATGACTGCAAAATATTACATTGACTTATATCATTATTTCTTGAATATTATTGTTAAATTATTATTTATTGAAAAGAAAAAAGAAATTATATTTATTAGTTATAACTGACTTTGACCAAGAATATTGTTAACAAAAATACTGTTACCTAGCCTGAACTGATGCCATTGTGACAGGTCAAGTTATAGGACTCCAAGTTTTTTAGCCCAAGTGGTAAGTACTATACATAGCAACATAAGTATCGTGTTAATGAAAGTGAACCAAGTTAAAACTGACTATACACATAAAATTGAAATTTCTAATTAAAAATGAAGAGAATAATTAAATTTTTAGAGGAAAGGTGAAAGGAAGTATGTTTTAAGTTTCAAAACAGTCCCTCTCAATAAAATTTGGAAAATTCCAGAATGTAAAAAATGATATAATTTGATTTATATTTTCCTATGTTTATTTAAGTCAAAACTAGATACCATTCATAAGTTTTACACAATTTTAGTAAGTATTTCCACTGTGAGAAGGAAAACAAAACAGGGATGTCTAACACACCCTCACTCATATAAACTCAATATTTACCTCAAATGACTGGAGTAGTAACAGCATAAAATATTTGGCATAAATACCACAAGTTCATCAACATACTCTATTCTACATCCATGAAAAAGTTGACTTGATTAAATACACTAAAACTTCGTCAATATATATCTTCCATTCGAACTATATTACTTTTGGTTATAAGTCACAGTTCATCCTCTGCACTACTATAGTTCCTATCAAAGTAACAGCAACATCACACACCTTTTACTTAAAACCAATGTAAAGTATTTACTCCGTATAACTAGGGTTACCAGATGTTCCAGTAAAACTGGGATCATCCCAGTTTCTTTATACTTCAATGTCAGTTTGATATATACAGTTTGTCATTGTACAATGCTCCTTTTAATTTTTCTTTCAGAATCATTTCACAAAGACAGATAAAATGGTGCTGTTTTCTCCCCCCTCTGCTATGTTTTCTTCACCTTACCAGTCATTGAGCTGTTGCAGGAGCAGGCAGGAGAGATCAGATGAGTTCAAAAGATGGAGGATTGAGAAGACAAGAGAGAGACTACCTTGAGGTAAGATCATTCTTTTCATAGCTTTAAGATAAGAGTTTTTTAGTT